ATGCACGAGAAGGCATTTTGGAATAACCAGTTATGCAAATGACCCCTGTTGACATGTATGTAGGGTTTTATTTTAGAGTTGGTATACACCTTCTGTCCACTTGTATGTATGTTGTGAATCCAATGGTGTGGCACTGCGTTTTAGTGGCCCGTAATTTTACTAATGATTCCCTGCTTTTGTTTACACATGAATCATAGCGTCTATTGCCTATTGCTGATTGTCATCGCTGTTGTCAGCAGGTGTTCGCCTCTTCCACAGTTCTTCCTGCCTTTGCTTGCAGATAATATGTTGTGCACGTGATGTGTTTCCTACAATGGCTCGTAGGTATTTGCATTTGTTGTGATCCTGAACTTGCTGTGATTTTTGGTCTTTCGTTGTAAGTGATATGTCGCATGTCAATGTTCATAGGGGATCCATTATACCAGCAACATATCTACTATCATCACTTGTAGATAGATTAACATGTTAATTTGCAAATTGATTTTGATTGCTGGGTGGGCTACATTTGTTTATATATCGACTTCTATTTGTTCGCAAAGACCCCTCATCCTTGCACCATATTTGTTGTTGCTTCTTGTGGATGGCTTAACATATTCGTTTGTACGCTGACATCGATTGTGGGGTGAGTTGAATTCACCATACATTGCAATGGTGGATTTGCTCATGTAGCATGTTAAAGCTTACATTTCAACTGCATGTCAATATTGACAAGGGGTGTCAATTTCGGGTCACGGGTCATGTTTGGGTCGAACCCGGAACTGACCCAGCACTATTCGGGTCAACTCGACCCGACTGATTTTTACAAATGGGTCAATTTTTGGGACCCAAACCCGACCCGCTTCAGATTCGGGTTAACCCAACCCAACACAGATTTTTTCGTGTTTGGTTGAAGCGCGCGAGAAAATGAGGAAGATATAGCGAGCTCCCGTCGCTACTTCCATTTCCGGCGAGGCGGCAGAAGCAGCGACGGTGCAGCAGCAGCGGCGCGACAGCGACTCGATGCGAACTCGGTGCGGCAACGTCTCGACATGAACTGGCAGTGCGCCAGTGCGGCAGTAGCAGTGGCGGCGGTGCGGCAGCAACAGCGGGGGCGGTGCTGCAGCGGCGATAGCCTCAAAGGAGGCGAACTGGTGACTCGACGGCTGACAGACTGAGCGACTGCGACTCGATGCGTTGGGTCATTTCACAGGCAAGGCGGGCATGCCGAGCAACAGAAACGGGCAGAATCATTTTCGTGTCATTATCGGGTTTTCGGGTCAACCCGAACCCGACCCGTAACTCAAATCGTGTCAAATTTTCGAACCTGAACCCAACCCGTTTGCTAATCGGGTAGACCAGAACCCGGATTTTTTCGGGTCGTGTAAAAAATTGACACTCCTAATATTGATTGCCGGTGGATTGCGTTCATTGTACTCGTCCATTCGTCAGTGTTTGCAAGGAGTTTTATTATCCATAGATGAATTGGCATATTCATTTGCACATTAATGTTAACTAACAGGTGAGTTGCATTCGCTACTGATTTCCCTCTGCCTATTGATTGGCAAGTTGTTGCATTTACTTGCATACCAGATTTGTGTTCATGAGAGACTTCTGCATAGATTTGCAAACCCATTGAAATTGTTATACTCATAGCCCATCCGTTGTTGTCGATCACGAGTGGATTAGTGTATTCATTTGCCAATCAGCTAATTTTGAACATATGGAGACTACTACATTCACAACTTATTCATCATCACTGCTGCTTGTTATGATTTTCATGCATTACAAGTTTATTGCCTTTCTTCATAGACAGCGTGCAGTGTTTGTGCAAAAGACTTGTCATACTTGTCGCATGTTGACTGTTGTTACCCACAGGGAGCTCTTTTATTCATTCGCTAGTGGATTGACATTAATTGTAATAATATCTCCGTATTCATTGCATGTTAAATCCTTCTGCCGCTCGAAGGATTTAATGTGCTTGATTGAACACTAACATTGACTATAGGAGCTGTATTTGTTGTGCACCTTCTACATTCCGTTCATGAACACACTATGACGTTCATTGCATTCATCTTGCCTCCCATTTGTGTGTTCATTGTTCTTTGCATACACTGAGTCTTCTATTTGCTCGTTAATGGTCATTACAAGTTTTATTTTGGTTCATTTGTATTTGACTGATGTTGCTTGCAAGTTGATTACGCCTAGAACCTTATCCATCACGAGTCCTCTATTTATTCATTGATTTTTATTTGAATGACCAGGACCATTAATTAACATTTATATTTTAATGTTATTGTGCATTTTTTTTCTAATTTGAGTTTCGATTCCCTGCTAATTTGTTCGAGTCAAGTTCTTTGTAGTTCAATAATCTGCAAGTTCAATCCCCAGTTGTTCATTTAAGTCCCCTGTTCACTAAGAAATCCAGCAACCTCCCAGTGTCTCCCTTGTTTAGGGGAAATCTTGGGAGTTGGGCCTTCCTGTCATGCTAGAAAAAAAACATGTACGGTAGGTGTCTAGCGACACCACGGCCGTGATCTTCAATCCCACCATGGACAAGAAAGGCATATATGGGTCTTCAAGGGTATCTATTTGAAAATGAGTAGTTCTTTCCCCGCATGCACTGAGGCATGTACACTGGTACTTAAAGTTGTCCCCGCCACACTAAAGAAAAGCGTGTATAGTGCCTACCCACCTCGTCAGAATCATTCGATCTGGTGTTGGTGTCGAGTGGAAGAGGAGGGACTGGATGCTTATTGTGAGTTATAGTGGTTGTTAGAAGTTGGGACTAGGCTTGGTTACGACTGGGTTGGATCTGGATGTGAACGGAGGGTCGGGCCGGATGTGAGCAAGTGGGTCGAAGGGTAGAGGAGATTCGGCTAGGTATGTGAATGGGGGCTGCAGCCTGCAGGTGGTGTTGGAGGAGGGAAGATGGAGTTCAGCCAGATTTTTATGCGTGGAGGCAAAGGCAATCAGGGGCTCAAATAGAGAGAAGGGAGCGAGAGCATGAGCGAGAGGGCAGTATTGTGTGCAAGAAGAAGCGAGTGGAGATCTTCCTTCTTTGCTCCTTTTATCAACGCAAATGAAGGCTTCTTGATCGAGACGAGCATGGTCCATACGCAGGAAATATGAGAATGGGATAGTTCGGTGTCGATGCAAGAATTTCAGTTGAATTCGAGGGATTTCGAGCAGGATTTGCGAAGGTTTTTGGCAGGATATGAGGTACAAAGGTCAACAAAGTCCTTTCATAAACTTTTCTTTCCAGTAGTTATCATTAGCCTATCGTCAAATCATGACTCCAAATACAAATGTAGATGTATACCATAACAAAATGATTAAGTGTAAGACAACATAACTTCAACAGAAATGATCCAAATATGTGAGTGTATTCTCAGTAAAGAGATTAGAAGATATTCTATACAATTAATAGGCTAGGCTTGAATCAACTATAATCAAGTTTGCACAAAGCAGCTCAACTCAAAATCGAAGGTTTCAATTTCTTTTGAGCCAAGTTCAAGTAAAAAGGATTAATTTTGAGTTAACTTTCAGGCTAATTAAACTTGTGTCTATTAATTTAATAAAATAGTTGTTATGTGCTAGAAAATTCATATAGCAATTGAGTGAGTGCTTTGCGTATTTAACTTTGTACGAAGTTCCAACACACATATAGATAAAAGGAAAAATGTAGAAGATACTTCAGTTTTTACGTAAAAAATCAAGAAAGTGAAAATAAATATTGGGCTTCACTAAGTTGAAAAAATCTATTATCTACTTAAAATTATAGAATTCTGATCTTCTCCACAATTGGAGAAAATGGGATTAAAAAAGTAGGAGCACTTGCTTGGTCTCTTATCATTATATAAGAGATTATGGGATAATAAGTGAGGTGATGATCACAACAGATGAATGATATCAATTAAGCAACACAATTCGGATCATGAGGTCAGACGATGGAAATCTGGGATGAAGGTAGTTGGAAGAGATAATTATCAGGCATCGACAGTCAGATGAATATGATTCGATGATGGAAATTGGATAATGAGGAATGAATTATGATATTCAGATGACAGTGGTCAGAAGGAGATAGGCAAATGATGACGATCGTCATATGAGGGAAGTCGGACAACGGCAACAATCGTTAACATTGCACGTTTGGCAGAGCTATAAAGTTCTTTAGATCTCTATGTTTTCTCCAAATTCAAGTTTAGAGGTCTATTTATAGTATATTGAGAGTGATATTTTAGTAGATTCATCCAAAATTTCATAACACTCAATTAGACGGTCCATATTAACTCTATTAATCATATATTATTTATTCAATATTTGAGTGCCTTTAAGTATTCCAAATTAAACGATTATGGGTTCGTTGGATTCATCTTATCAACTGCTTGATTTGATTATAAACATATAAAATTTAGAAGTCATTTGATCATTCAACTGAAATCCGGAAATTTCTTACTATGCTTCATGCCCTTAATTTAGGCTCATTCGGACTCAAATATGAACAACATTAGTATTGTTGAATTCACCTTATCGAGACGTTCAATTTGACTATAAATTTGTCGAGATCGTGGCTGGGATAGTCCTAGATTTTAGTATGATATTTAATTATAAAATAATGCATTGAATTTTTTTGGAGATATATCAATACAATTAAAATTTTGAGTCAATACCTTATTAACATAAATCTATACATCAGTCAATTTTGAATTCAATTAAACGAATTTCGGACCAACTATCTTCGAATCATTGCAACTAAATTTTGATTTCATGTAACTTAAAATTCAAGTTATTATCCAGCAAGATTTTAAGTTTAAGACAGAATTAACAGCCCCACCCTCTCTAATAGACATGAATCGCCGTAAGAAAATAAAATGATCACAACAAAGCCATTGCTGAAATTGAAATAATAATTTATCTGAATAGCCATTGGCATCTATCATCAGAAGCAAAAAAAAAGCCTAAAATCGACGATTTAGAGAAAACTGAAGCTTCGGGAAGAAGAATAAGTGTATGAGAATTACCGAGGAGCAGAGCTTGTACAGCTAAGCGGTACTAGGCTTTTAGCAGAGCAAGCTGCCATTGACGGTCGGAAGGACCTGAGAGAGAGAGAGAGAGAATAAGAGGGAGTCGGCGCTTGTGGAGTTGAAGAAACGCGACGAGTGAACAATTTTATCAGGATAAGGGCAAAAAAAATTTTGGTTTATTCTTCCGGCAAATAATACACGCTTGGAGAAGTACATAAGATTAGGCCACCAACCATGCTTTTTTTTTTTTTCACCAACCATGCTTATAAACCATTGATAATATTATAAACCCTAAATCCTATTGGTAGACATAAATTATGGAATATATATTATGTTGATAAAAAGAGTTATAAAGTATTTACAATATCATTCAATAATGATCAATAGCTTGATCCTCATAAGGAGACCGGACAACTAGTAAGATAATTATTGATTGTTGTTCATAAACATTTAGTGATGGTTGAGAAGAAATATTGGTCTCTTAATGCTGAGTGTTTATAGACATTGTATTTTCTTTCTATAACTTGAGTTCATGATTTCCTTTATATGACATAATTCATAGTTAATGGCACGATATCTCACGATCAGGTCAAGTCGACTAACTTAAGGATTAATTGATATTGAGTTTATAATTTATGGTGATTGATCCATGAATCATGACTAGATTGTTGCTACCTTTCGTTGTTTCATTATTTATTCCTGCAACCTTTTTGAGCCCCTTCACTCTAATTGACTTTTGGTGATTTATTCATCATCTTATAGGATTTTTCATGTGGAGAGATAGTTAGTTTGCTTGTTTATAGTAATTCAACATATATCTTATGGATTAATTTATTTTGAATCGTTGACTATCTTATTAAGAAAATTATTTTTGAATTATAGTTTATTCATTAATGTTTACCAAAAACAAATAATAGCACGAGCATGTTTTCCTAATGGAGAGTAACTCTCGGAGAATAAATATCAATCCTTATGGAAAGCTTATCGATCTTGATCTATTAGTTTTAATTTTAAAATTTAAAATTAATAAAATTACTTTTCGTGTGCATTATAAGGAGATAAAACTTGTTAGTGCTATCTCACCATGGCTATATTTGGGACGGCTTTCTTACTGCTTCTTAAAGATGCTTTCTAGTATAAAAATTGAATTTTTTTACTAAAAATCTGCTTTAAGATGTAGTAAGGAAGCCATCCCAAACAAAACCTATATCTTTTTTATTGTTACTATTCTGAAATCTCTCATAAACATAGCACCATCATATTATCACCTCTTTTTTTTCAACAACCATCTATCTAGCAAATTTGTTTTTAATAGAGTACTCCATAATTCAATGGACCAAGCTTTAGGCACATAGCTCAAAAACTATTTTATTTGGAGTTCTTGCTATAAGCAATAAATAACCCTAGGAACTAAATTATGGTCTTTGAAGAGGAAAAAAAAAAGAACTTTCAATGAAGATCAAAAAGTTTCACTCTGAGATAGCAACACATCCTAAGAAGACATAACAATTGTAAGAGTTTGTATGTTTAGCATCAAGGAAAGAAAAATATTGAAAGATAACTCATGTATTTCTATATTAATATGAGAGATTGAAAGATAAGGAGTTTTATATTAAACCAATGCGGTAGTACTCATTTATAGTCTTGAAGAAAGTAACGGAAAACAACTACACGATGGATATGCTCTCTTACTTCGAAATATAGGCTTCATTTGGGATGACTTTTTTATTGTTTTCTAAAGTAGTTTTTTAGTACAAAAATTTCATGAATTAGAATCTTTTTAACCAGAAAGCTGCTTTTAAAAGTATTAAGAAAGCTAACTTTAACAAACAATGGCATAGTCTATGATGAATAATCAAAATCTCAACTTATTCAACCTTTCTATGATGGAAGAAGTACAAGAAGTTTTACCTCTAGTCCCTCAACTATTATGTTAAAATGACTAGCTAAATATAGATTAAAAAACTTGGTGAAAAAAAATCATGACAACCAGCTAAGGCATCAAGGTGCATCACAAAATTGACAAAAATTGACAAGTGCTGTCCAATAAAATGTGTTTAGCTTAGAAGAGAGGATATGAGGTGATGCCTCTCCTATAGCTTGATTCATATGAGGTGATATGAAAGTTGACATGGGATTTTTGAGAGGATCTAAATTATTGTTGAGTGGTACGGTTCTCAAGCCAAGAGCTTTATTGTTGAATGAATTTCAGGACCAAAAGAAAGCTTTGAGGTGAAAATCCTAATAACTATATGCTAATTACTATGAAGCTAAGGACCTAAGAAATAACGAGCTCAATCTCGTTGTATACCATTTTGTTCAATCTCGTTGTTGATTTTTGAGGATATTTATAACCATTTTGCTCAATCTCGTTACTGCAAAGACCCACGAGAAAATCCTAGAAACACCTTTAGTTGAAGAACACAATCAAATAGATTATTGTATTGCATCTCACTAAGCCTATCTTAATTGTCACGTTGCCATCTTGTATACCATAAATCTAAAATGTCAAACTTAAAGATCTATTAATATAAGAAATTTCATTAGATAGAACATAAAGCTTAATTATTCACTCTTCACCTTAGAAAAGAGCATTAACAAAAAGTTCTTACTTTACTAAACTCAAATAATGCAAAATAGCCTTCATTTTTTATTTGAGAAATAGAAAATAGATTTTTCATGTCAAGAATATAGTAACATATAAAGATGAGCCAATGGATGATAAAAGAGCTAAGTCTATAATGCTCTAACAGGATAAAGTGCATCATCATTAATGTCAAAGTACCAAAGCACTCCTTAACAAAATAATCATTTAATGTGATATTAAGTACCAATTAAACTAAGACTTTGTATGGGACATCTTTTCTTCTGCTTTATAAAGTGATAAAGTGACTTCTTAGAACAAAAATTTTTAATTCAAATTTTTTTTTATTAGAATGTTGCTTTAGAAAGACATTGAACTCCCAATAGAAGAAAGAATACAATTTTATTGTTTGGATATGATCCTTACTCAATTAAAACTTAATTAGTCATTTAGAGAAATTTTAATTTGAGATAAAAGAACATAATTACTAAATTTTTTTGATAAAAATTAAATTAAATATAAATGAATATAATAAAAATATATTATATAAACTAAGATATGAGGAATAACTATATTAGGAAGATTTGGATAATAATTTATTCCAGCATATGGCATTTATTTCAACAAAGTGCATTTGAAGCCAAAATCTCTCTCTTTCTCTTCCTCTCTCTCCCTCAAAACAAGAAGCAAATAAAAACTCCACCCACATGGCATGGAGAAACTAAGGCTACTACTCTATAAAATTTAATACATCTTGACATCGTCTAAACAACATTGAATTTTTTTTTAAATTGTGATTAATAAACTCACTAGTGAACTGGGCAACCAGGAGCTATCACTCCAGGAGCTGTAGGGCAACTAGCAAATTCACAATAGTCTCCTGCAACACCTCCCCACCATTCTATCCCACCAATTCCATGCGCCTGTAAAGCTGCAAATAAAAGAACTCCCATAAAAGCCACTCCAGCATCTAATGCAGCTGACATGACATAAGTATGGTTTGCCCACCATTTCTTGTAGTTTTTGTAAATATAATGATTGAAGAAAATACCAACTATTCCCCACATTATATAATTCACTGTGTGCGCTGGAGGAATGCCACCTGCACCTGATATAATTAGTGGAATATGGATGTATTTCAGCAACTTGTTATCAGGAAAGGCCTTGCTAAGGAACCAGAAGGGGATGGGCAATAAGAATCCTATAAGGAAGAATAAGTTCAAAGCTGAGTAGTTCCCCAATTTGCCAAACATTCTCTTGGGGCCAACTAGACCCCAAATAATTGATGCATTGTAGAAAACATCATCGCCAGGGCAAGTCCATGGACTATCTGGAGGCAGATTTTTTGGATCGCATATGTTCTGCACATTCTCAAGAAGCATCCATGCGGTTGCAAAGTAAACCATAGATGCTATTATTGTTCCTGTTAACTGTGTGATAAACATTGACTTAGGAGGGATCTTCATGTAATGCCCAAGATTTAGATCACTTAGAAGTGTGAGTGCTTGAGCCATGCTAATAGTGCCATATGTTTTGAATGTCACATTCGCTAGAGGTTTTCCTGGTAACAACAAACCTATCATGTACTCTGTAATGACATTTAGTGCAGGTCCCTGCAATATAATTAGGGAAGAGAAAAATAAGTAATATGTTGTAACTTTTTGCAAGACCTTGGTGCCAACCTATGTAATATACTTTAATCAAAATATATTATGATTGATAAGCTTACGTTCTAGAATTTACAACATTATTAGATCTTTAATGTATAAGTCCATGAGTTAAATCAGACCTGATTTGTAGTTGCCACAATCACACCAATTGGTAATGTGAAGAATAGGGCCATTGCACATGCCAATAATACTCCCCACCATGGAAGTTGTAGTTGTTTATCAAATCCAACACAAGTGAATATGGATAATGGAATAACTATAGCTAAGAGGAGATAGAACCACCACTCAGGTACAGATTCATAATTCCTCATCAGTCTTGTATGAACATCTTCTACCTTTTCCTTTGCATATTCTTTGCTATTTCTCCACATCGTCCAAATGTCCCTAGTAATTTAAAATAATAAATTAGATTAAGAATTGTGAAGAAGGAAAATGATTAAGATTTTTCTTTTTTATAAATTTTCATACCTTCCATGATGTAGAGCAACATGCATAATGGAAGCTGTTAGGCTAGCGAATCCCAAGCCATATGTTAAAACAAACATAATACTCAAATTAATCTTGCTGTAGTTATCTTGTTCTTGAACATTTAAAGTGAAGGTCCTCTCATTTATGATCCGCGACGTGTTGTAGCTTCGACCAGTATAGTCGAAGACATGCGAAGACATAATCGGGAAGCGTTTAGCATTGTAAGTATTGGTCCAATATCCAATTGGTAGGATGACATAAATTGCCAATATAAAGCTGATCATTATGTTAAAGATTGCTGTTGCAGGTGTGGCCAATGGACTACCTAAAAAACTAGCCACAACTGACCAATCAAGGCCAAAGGAACCCACACCTAGTCCTCTCAATCCAGATCCAACCTGATGAACAGTTACAGATTTCTTAAAAATCAAGCAAAGCACTGAGATGCATGAGAGAGTTGGAAAGATGAACCCAGGTATTGCATAATATGCAAAGCTTGAGATGAAGACAAGCAAGAAAAATTGAAATTTTGTTTGGCCTCCCTTCTTTCTCTTCTCCTTTTGATGTATTGCTCTGAAAAATGAAAAGGAATTAGCTTAAATGTTATTTTTATTTATCTAAGACAGAATTATATTTCATATGTGATATGATCCATTACTTGAAGAGGGAGACTTGAACAAGGTTGGAAGGCCACCACATATACGGAGATTCAACTAAGTATTTTTTGTAGATTCCTGCCCAACCATAACCAAGCAACTACAAAAAAAAGTATATCATAAGTGTCAAAAGGTAGGAAAAGTATTCTGTGCGGAATCCGAACGTGTTCGAATTCCACACAGAATAATCTCTCCAAAAGGTGCGCCTTGTATTTATATTTTAGATAGTCTCACCTGCGTTGTTTGTGCTAATAGAAAGCCTGTCATTGGATGGATATCTCTATGGTAGAAAGCCTTAACAATTGTTACAATGTGAATAGCATAGATACCGCCTGCTCCGGCGCCAGCGAAAATGGTTATGAGGCAGTGCTCCTTCATTGAAAATGGTCCAGGATTGAGCGAGAAAGACCAATTGAAGAATGGAACCTTTATATCTTTCTTGGGAAGAGTATTTGCTAGAAATCTTCCAATGGGTAGTGTGATTATTTGGGCACAAATTGAACCGATGGCCAATGGGTTTGTTCTGTATGCGAAGAACATGTTGACGAAAGAGAGCAAGACGCAAGAGATTGCCCCAAGTAACCATGTTCGAATAGTTAAAACTGGGAGACTTGGATTGTCTGATGGATCAACTGTAAGCCTCACTTCTTCTATGGGGTGGTCATTCTTTTCAACTGCAAAATGATTTCATCCATTTTATCATTAAGAATTCTAACATAAAAGTTCCATTGATAAACATCCTAAGGTAACTAAATTCTGGTTTGCATGTTCTTACTGTTTTTTATGTCTGCATTTGAGACGATTTTATTTCTAAAGCAGCTTTCTTGTAGAAAATTTTATAGTTTAAGAAATTTTTGTATTAGAAATTTTTTTTAGAAAACAATTAGGAAGCTGTCCCAAACGAAATCTGCGTCTCCCCATTTACTTTTATAACATTTGGGTTGAAAAAGAACTTAAAAAAATCTATAAAAATTATAAATACTGCATATATACCTTGAAAAAAATAATAAAAAATGCAAAAAAGTGAGAAAAATAATACATACGAAGCCACCCATCTGGTAAATGCTTTTCTACGTCTTCCTCCAGTGAAAGATCATCTGAAGGTAAAACAACTGAAGTCCCTCCCATGAATCTCTTAAAGATTACTCTACAGCTTCTGCAACCCAAATGATCTTGTTTCACATTGCTGATGGATCTCGTAAGCTTAGTCATATATATATACAACGCCAGCCGGCCAGGGGTAAACAAATGGCTAGAGTTTTTTTTTTTTTTTTTGAAAACTAACAAATGGCTAGCGTTAGGATATTTATTTGGTATATAAGAAAAAGAAGCATAAATTTAAGAAACTCGTTCATTTCTGATAATTTCTCTTACACCTAAGAGTATGTTCATAACAACTTTCTTGTTACTTAGGCTTCGTTTGGGACGGCTTTCTTACTGTTTCTTAAAGTAACTTTTTAGTTCAAAAATTAAGAAAATTACTTTAAGGAGCAGTAAGAAAGCTGTCTCAAATGAAGCCTTACTTTGTTTTTCAAACTGTAATCATAGCTTCTATTTAGATACTGTTTTTTAACTTATTTTAAATATTTTTTGTGCTAAGTAGCTAATTTTTTATAACAATTTTTCAATAAAATGATTTTCCCCATTTCCCCACAGGTGCTTTACTATCACCTTTATAAAATATTACAACGATCTCAAACAAACCCTTAAATATAAATATTTATGAGAAATTTAACAATCTTTATTTTCTCCACTCTTGATTTATAGCCTTTTCAATTTAAAATTTTTACCAAATTTAATTTCAAAATTACCCACACACCTATATATATTTATAAAATTGTTGTAAATAAAATAGTTTTTTTGAAAGATACCGTATCGTTGAAAATAGCTTCTCGGCACAATTTTTTTTAAAAGCAACGAAAAAATAGTGATCAAACTAAAGCTTTGATTGCAGTCATAAACAAAGCCTAAGCCTCGAATTCATTTTACTTAACGAACATTAAAGCTAAAGGACTCAAATCAATAGATCAAAATAGGCTACAACCTGATATCTTGTCTACCGTGATGATATATGGATATTCACAAGGTCACACAACTCATCTTAGATCTGTTAGTTTGGAGCTTTGGTTATCGATCAATGAATCTTTGAATTCAAAGCTTATATATACGTTGTGTGTGTGCGTTTGGCTTATTTAGCCTAAATGTCCCAAAAAGATATTCACTGGGTCTTGCTGATTCTTTCAGCTTAACAAAATTTGAACTAATCAGATATGGGCAACGGACATTTTTATGTCCAAAATTTGTTCTATCATAAGAAAAGTGCAAAGCAAATCATAGCTCCATCTGTACGTAAGAAAAAATAATAATAGAGAAAAAAAAAGCTTCTGAAATAGACACAGCATTGACGTAATACACAATTGCAAGTATTCAACTTGTGGCGATCTTCAAATACAGAGACGTACGTGAGTATATTGTAATTAACCACAGAGCCACAGTCTTCCAATGAATGGAAAACTGTTTCAACAAAAGATTAGGGCTTGTCTTTTTTTTTTTTTTTAATATAAAAGTTTTTTGAATTAAAAAATTATTTTAGAAAACAATAATAAAACTGTCCCAAACAAAGTCTAAATTTTGAATAGTTTATTAACATTTTTTATAAGATATCTTGAGATTAAAAATATATTCCTCATTTATACAATTTATTTATTTTTGTATTATATGAAATAATTATTTCAAAATGAAAGATTTTTTTTAATTGTTTGTGTACATTCATTTAAGTTTTGTGCATATAAAGTTTATAATTTGTTCGTTTCAAAATAAATTAAATAATTTTATTTAGATATGTTTGATCAAAAATTACTTAGATATTTCGGCTCATAATTTTTCATACAAATTATGAATTTGTTTTGGGTTATTTTTCTATGAAACTCTATCAATTATTCGTTTTTTTTAATAGATGGAAACACAAATGAGTTTATTTAAATATATATTTTGTTTTTCTTGACTGATTTTAGGGGTACTTACTACTGATAAATCAAGCTTTTGTAGCACTTTTTAGAATCAACTACATCAGTTTAAGCACCTGCTAATTTATTTGCAGCGGATAAAACCGCTATCTATATCTCTCTATAGCACCGATTTATAATATACCACTATGAACTCTTGCGAAAACGTCATGTTTTTGGTAGTTACTTTATAGGCCATTTATAGCTTTTAAATTTTAGTTATTTCTTATACCATCAAATTAGATGCACAGTATTATAGTAGTTCCTCTATTATTTTTTTTTTTGTTAAAACCCACCTACGGGCCTACGCATTAATATCGGGAAAAAGTTACACAGTCCTTAAAGGGACCTCTAGTTCACTACTGCTCCGAAGAGCTACAAACAAAATAAAAAAGAAACCTAAAAGCCGGAGTTCCATACTAATCAAAATTACAAAATAATCTAGTAACATTCTAAGTAACAAAAAGCAAAGGGATGAAGTAATCACTTTCAGCATAGCCCTTCCAACAGCACTCGTACCCTGCACAAAACGAGTGCGGAGCTCCAAAAACCTGAAAAACAGGCCTGCAAGGATACTAAAGCAAAAAAAAAAGCAACCAAAAATAATCTAAAGCGGAATGAAGATTTAAGAGCATGCTTCAAGGATTACAAAAGACCCCCATTGTTTTATACCCCCTAGTATAAAGGCCGTTAGAACACCTGCAGCCGAAAAACCAAACCCACACGGGCATAACATTCCAGGCAGTAAAGTTAGCCCCATGATACTCAACCCCCTTCCAGGCAGCCAGCGTAAACCACAGATGCCCCAAATTAAAAGAAACAATACAATACAGGATGGGAGTATTCAAATTCAGATTCAATGTAGAGATAATACTGCCCCAACTACAATAGCAAAAAAAACACAGAGACATCGAAACCAGAGAAATAAATCCAGCTATAAGAAAATTTTAGAATGTTGTTGTGCCTACTACCGAGATGCCCCACATTGTTGAACCACGGTAAATAGATAAAGCACCCAATGGTCCAATACAACACATCAAAATCATTGAACTCAGACACATAGCAACATAATGGAAAAGAAAGAACATAAAGAAGATAGTCAACAGAACAAAATAGCAGGAACAAGGAGGGAAACTTCCTATCCGCAACCTGTAGAGTGCAAAAAATAGCAAACATGAAATAAAAAAGAAACCCGCAGAAAGAATAGAAATACACATTAATTAAATCGGATATACGGAAATCCCATCCGGCCCAACTTGATAAGCCCCTTGATATCCCTGGGAAGAGAATGCTCATTAAAATGCAAAAAATCAGCCTTAGAACACCCCAGTTTAGCTAAACCATCAGCCACCGCATTTCCCTCACGCAAAATATGAGAGATAGAGTAATTAATACAAGAGAAACAAAGCTTAATATCTCTAATCTTGTAAAAAATAGTAGGGTTAGGATTCGAATTGCCATTAATATAATGAATTAAAAGTAAGGAATCAACTTCCACCCAAATGTCAATAATGCCAAGGGAAAGACATAATTGAACCCCATACAGTAGGCTGTCAGTTTCAGCTTGGATAGCATTAGTACCAGAAGAGGGACCAGCATAAGCTGCAACAGCCATACCATTATAATCACGAATAATGCCACCACAGCCAGCCTTGACATTATTATAAGAGCCATCCGTATTGAGTTTAAAATAACCAGTAACAGAACGCCTCCAATAAACCAACTTTTCAATTTTGATGATAGATTGAAGATTAAACTTCAGACCAAAATCATTAGCAGTAGGAATGCAATTCTTAAAAGACTCAACTTTAATTAACTTCGCAACATAGAGTTGAAGAACCTTGTTCTTAACTTTAGCAATGACATTCAAGGCATTCATACCAATATTCTCATGTTTGGAAGCATTCCGGCTTTTCCATAAATACCAACAGATAATAATAGGGATTATATTTCTAATATGACCTTTGATAGGAAGAAGCCAATCTTTAAGCATAGCAGTAATCGAATCATAATGAAAAGAAGTAACCACATTAAAAATATTGTCAAAATAAATCCACACTTTGGTAGCAATCGGGCCATTGATGAAGACATGGTTAAGATTCTTGATATGATAGTAACATTGACATTTAGAAACAATAACCAAACCTTTTTTCTTCAAAAGAGAATCGACAGGTAAGTAGTTGTGTAAAATTCTTCAAAGTAAAAAAGAGTAAGTAGGAGGAATATTAGCATGCTAAATAGAATCATAAATATAGTTTTTAGGCAAAATCTGTCTGATCGAATTCCAAACAAGTTTAGTGACAAACTGTCCATCATTAGAACGATTAAATAAAATGCAATCCTCTTTCCCCCTATAAATGGTTATCTTTGTAATTAAACTAATGATGGCATCAGGAATCATATTAGCAAGCATGTTCAAATCCCAAGTGTCATTAATAAAGAAGTCTTTAAGTTTCATAGTAGAAGTAGAATGAGTATTTAAAAGACTGTCAATAGAAAAATTACCCAACCACTTATCCTGCCAAAAGGAAATGTTCCCAACGCCCAAACCCCATTGAATGAACTCTTCAGCTTCCCACTTGATACTGCAAAGCCTTTTCCAATTGAAAGAATCCCCTTGTTTGTAGCAACAATTTAAAGGATGATTGACAAAACAGTATTTAGTAGTCATAAATTTAGCCCATACTTTTATTAGATTTGAAAGAAAACCACAGTTTATGGTTAAAAGACTTGGACATCTCAGTCAAGGTATGAAAGCCAAGTCTGCCCTCATCCTTATTCCCAGCACATTTAGTCTAAGAGCACCAGATAATAAAACGATTGCCATCTTTAGAACCCCAAAGAAACTTTTTAAAAATAATTTCTATTTTGCTGCAGATATGATTAATAGGGCATAAAGTATGCATCAAATAGATAGGGATGGAACATAACACATGTTTTATAAGAACAATTCTCCCACCATAAGATAGAAAATTAAAAGCCCAAGAAGATAGTTTCTTGTGGATAAACTTAAAAACCCCATCAAACAGATGAGAACGTTTCTTACCCTTATAAAGAGAAACACCAAGATATTTCATAGGAAGAAAAGTCTCTTTCACACCAAACTTCCTTTCGATGCTAGCAATACGAGTATTAGAAATAGACTTAGTAGGA